GAGCACTGGCTGTGCTTGCAGAGGACCTGGGTTTGAATCCCAGCCCCACATGGCAGCTCAAAACCGTCTAACTCCAGCTCTGGAAGATGCAGTGCCCTCTCCTGGCTTTGTGGACAACAGTCATTCACTTGGTGCATACCTGCACACGCACATACACACACGCGCGCGCACGGTACACATAAATTAAAATGGGCAGGGGAAGGGGTGTACCAGAAACAGAAGTCTAAAGAAAAGGTGGGGTGTTCTCCGTTAGAACCCAGACAGACTGCTGCTTAGGCACAGTCTGCAGCGGCCCTCACCTCTCCGGTCTCTAGGATACTGGCAAGCATCCTACCGAGACCCTGCCTACGAGCCTCCAGCTAACAGACTTCTTTAGTGAGTTTGTAGACTGCCAGGCCACACACAGAGGACGCATCAGAAGCCTCCCCCACTTCCTCTCCTGGCTGCAGGCTCCTAGGAGACCCTTTAAGAAACTGGTTCTCCTCAGAGTCCGCATACTTAAGCCCCACGCCCAACACCTTTCAGGCCCCAGATGTTTTAATCACAACCTCATAAGCAAAGATGCCCTGCCTGCCAAGGCTGCTATTTATACACTCTACACGGGCGCCACATGAACGAGGCGCCTGCCCCATGCATCTGTGTGGTGAGGCCACCCATCCCTGGCTGAAGCTGCAGGCCGGTGCATCAGGGAATGCCACCTCGGTGCAGCACCAGCCGCCTTCACTCTTGGACGTTCTTAGCTGCAGCCTGTGGACCCTCCCTCGTGCACTGCTGTGAGTGATGAACTCTGAACTCCCTGACAAGCTGTGAGGGAAGCAGCCTACTCCACAGCTTTCACTCTGCCCAGAACAGAGCTGTGATGCTGGGGAGACAGCGAGCCCACAGGTTTGTGGAGGGAGAGAACATTTAGTTCATCAGAAGAGACCATCGTGATAGGCTTTGAAGAACTGAGTAGGAGTTTTACAACTTGAGTCCATGACTCCTCTCCTCACAGTCAACTACAATGACTTTTGACTGGGAAACAATAAAGATGTGTAGAAGATGGCTCATTTGATGGGGGAAGTACTTCTGTGTATGTTTATCTTATTGATTATTAAATAAAGTTCTGTTTGGCCAATGAAACAGCAAGTTAGACAGGACTAGGAGTCAAAGAGGATTCTGGGAAATGTAGTAGATAAGTGGTGATCCAGGCAGGAAGTGACATAGCAAGGAGACTCATATTTAAGCAAGGAGAAATAGGAAGTGTTCCCTTTTCCCCTTCCTCCTCCAGCGGTGCCATGTGAGCCACCGGCAAGAGAGGGTGCCAGCAGAAGGCATCCTCTATAAGATAAGTCTTATAAAATATATAGATTTGTAATTGAGACTGAGCTAACAGATGAGAATCCTAGTCATTGGCCAAGCAGCATTGTACCTAATACAAGTCTCTCTGTGCATTATTTGGGGCCCTAACTCAGGCAGGCGGCTGGCGTAGAGCTCACATGTGGTAGTGAGGTTCAGCAGCCTTTGGCAGAAAGAGTTATTGTAACACACATTGTCTAAGGAAAGGCTACAGGTACTAATTTTCAAAGGATTGAAACAAAAGTAAAATGTAAACGTCCTCAGCCTTCCAGCTTTCCATGGAAAGACATGATTGCAGACACAGCCTTGTGCGGCCCCCCTGCCCTTGGGTTGCCAGTGTCCTGCACGGAGGCTCTCTTGCAGCTGCTCCATCCCTTGCCCCGAGTGGTTCCCAAGCTTGGCTCCCCTCTTAGGTTAGCTGGTTTTGTGGCACCATGTTTGGCTCCTTGGGATTTTCACAGTGGGAGTTCTGAGGTCCCCCACAGTGCTGGGGGAGGTGGAATTCAATGAAGAGCAGCTCTCCTCTCAGGAACTGCTGGCCTGGGAAGGCTTGCCTAAGGGAAGGCGAGCTGGAGAGGCTCCCTTGGGGGTCTCCGTGGTTCAGTGGAAGAACACACAGCATAGAGCTTTGGGTGACTGCAGCGGCCAGCCGGCCATTGCTCCTTTAGCTTCTGGCTTCAGGTTTCCTGTTCTGAGAGTAGCTCTTTGAGTCCTGATGACTTCTGCTGTGAGCACTGTTTCCCTCAGCCCCTTCCCTTTAACTAGCAAATAATGCTGGCTGGAGGGCAGTTGTACAGTGCTGGCCTGTCACAAACTGAAGCCCTGAGTTTGGTCCCTAGCCCCACATAAGACAGGCATAGTGGACTATGCCTGTAATCTTAGCACTCTGGAAGTGAAGGCAGAGGGCGTCAGAGCTTCAAAACCAGCCTGAGATACATGAGACCCTGTCTCCCAAACCACAAGGAGCATGCAGGCAAGAGTGTGCATCTTTAGAATGTATGTGCTCTTTGTCTCAAAAACAGCCTTAATCCCAGCACGGGTTCAAGGCCACCCTGATCTACACAGTGATTTCCAGGACAGCCAGGGCTACACAGAGAAACCCTCCCTCAATAATTAATTAATTTTAAAATGCATGTGTTGACCAGTTTTCTTCTTGGTAACAAAAGGTCATGACTTAAAGGCAATTCATTTCCCTGTGGGAGCTTTAGGAATCTAGGTTCGTGTGGAAGAGACAAAGAGCATGCAGGGAAGTGGCATGCTGCCTCCACAGAGAAGGGTGCTCCAGGAGCCCCCAGGTGGCACCTTGGCGCTCTCAAGGAGCCAGCCGCGCGCACGCGCGCACACACACACACACACACACACACACACACACACACACACACACACGGTGACACAGAAGCCCTCCAGTCGGCCCCACATCCCTGGAGTTGCAGCCAGGGACACCTGCTAAGAGATCCTAGGTGCCCTCTTTCTTCCCCTTAGGCCAGGGTTCTAGAACACTGTGTGACCAGTGATTTCATTGTTGGATGACACCCTGTTCCAGTCTCCCTGCATAAGGCCAGCTGTCACCTGAAGCAGCCCCTATTCCTGAATGACAACTGGAAGTCTCACAGTCACTAAGTGAAATTTGATTTAGATGAAACCAATCCGTTCAGACACAGGAACAGAATGACATGTTTTGTGCGGCTTCGGGGACAGCTTAGTGGAAGATGTATCTGTCGCCTCTGTGAGAAGGGCTTAAGCAAAATTCTTTTACCTTGATGTCCTTTACCCCATCTTCATTGACATAACACAATCAGAATTGTAAATCTCAGCCAGCTCCAATGTCTCAGCTGGACAGGAACGGCCCAGCTCTGCCTACAAAGCTTACCTAGAGCATAGTGTCATGATTTACAAGAAGGAAAACGAGGGGCTGGGGAGGCAGCTCCACCAGAAAGGTGTTTGCCTAGCACTAACCTCAGAACCCATGTGAAAAATCTGGGGGCGATGGCAGGTGTTTGTATCCCAACTCTGAAGAAATGGGGACAGGCAGATCCTGAGCCCCCTTGGCAAGCCCCAGGCTAGTACAGAATTCCTGAGGAACAGCCAAGGTTGCTCTCTGGCCTTTGTGCACATTTGCATATCCACATGTGAGCTCATGTGTGCACACACACAAACACCTATCCTCCTCAGATACCTTTGAACTTTGCCAAGGTGGGCTCCAGAAGACAGGAGGGTGTGGGGGGTGGTAGCTAAGAGTGAGCAGCCTTGTCTGGGGCTCTATGAAGGAGCAGGGAGCAATGCATGGTAATCCAGTGCATGACTGTCCCCACACGCCACCCAAAGTCACCAGTTCCCCCAGTGTTTAACACACACCTACTTTTCAGTGTACCAAACATTTTTAGAATAAATAAATGCTTCTAAGTCTTTTGAGGCTGGCAGTCCTGGGTGATTTGGCAAAGCAAACACCATAACTGGTTTCTTACATAACCCCACAGTTGGCAGCAAGGCACCAGGCTTTGAAATTAAGCAACACTCATCTGAGGAGACTTGGCCTCTTTTTGGGGGGGGTGGGGGATAAGCATCCCATTTGTTCTGGTTGCATATATTCTTTGTAATTACTAGCTGACTTTAGAAGAGCTTTGAGGAGGCAAGTTTTCAGTGTGGCGGGAATGGCTTAACTTCTGGACACATGGAAGCTGACTCTGCACATCAGCTGGAGAAGGCGTCAGGACTTTGAATGCTTTAATGAGATTGGGGCAAGTGGGAAGGACTGACTGTCCAAGACTGCTAGTTAGAAGCAGGAGTTGGAGTCCTCTGGATGCACAGTGATCTGTAGCAGTCACCCCACACTCTGTGAGCCGAGCCATGCTTGGTGGCTATAACTGCACTCTTTCCATGTCTTCCTCCCTTCTTGATAAAAAGAAAAAGTGTATAGTCCATGAACAGGACCCCCCCCCCAACCCCCGCTCAGTTTCAGAGCCCAGATTCTCTGTGGGACTTCTGTTTCTGTGGCATTGGGCATCAGCTCGAGGGCTTGTGTCCTACCATCTTGAAGGACATTCTTTGCTTGAATCCTTTGAACCTTGGGAAACATGTATGTGTTGCCTATCCCTGGCCCTCCAACCCAGGCAGGAAGTTTTCAGAGGAGAATCCTGGGTGCCCTTCCCACCATCCCACTGGGAACTGGGACATTGATCCAATAAAGTAGAATTGGGGAAGGGGGGGGAACACTGCATTTCAAAAGAAACCTGATTTTTTTTTCTTGAAAAACAGAACTCATTGACCAAGACAGATTTCAAAATGTTTCTCTGATGCCCAGCAAGAAACATCCATTGAGGTTTTTCAGGGCAACCAACTCCCCAGGACTTGGTTTCCAGGTCTCTCAAAGCCTAAGGACTCCCTGGAGGCTAATTGCTGTTTACAGCCTCAGACCTTCGTCCCTTCTCTTCTGTAACATTTTCCATCTTAAGCAGGGCCCGCCCAGTTCAGCCACAGAAGCGTGTTGTCTGGGCGGCCGAGTGGAATTACTACCAGTGGGAACTATGCCGCAAGAGGGGTGGTGAAGCTTGGGAGCTCAGCAGACTTCGGCTCCGAGGCCTTTTCCACCCTCCGAGCAGAGGTAATTAGCATAGGGAAAATGACTAAGGTGTTGACGTCACCTCTTTCCAGTAGAAACTTACACTTTGTCCCTGTCTGCCTTCGAGCATGCCGGACTTGACTCAGGAATTTGCTGTCCAAACAGGATGCTCTGGGAGCTGAGTCCTCCCCACCCCCAGGGGGCTGGCCCTCCGAGCAGCTTTATAAACCCCTGCTGGAACAAGGACCCGTGGTCTTTCTCTTGCAAAGGAACCTCCAGCTTGGGTCTTTGACTTCGAGTCGTGAGAGAGTCGTGAGTCATTAGCGTCTGCCCTGTAAGAAAGCAGAATGCATTTTAGGGACTTTAACTACAATTTTAGCTCCCTGATTGCCTGTGTGGCAAACGGTGATGTCTTCAGCGAAAGTGAAACCAGGGTAAGGCTTCTGGCGACCGTGATTTCTGAGCATTTTCCAAGCACGCCGCTAATTGGGACAATTAGCCGAAATACTCAGGGGCGGGAGGCTCTCTCTGGGGTTTATCAAGTAACCCCCAGAGTATTTTAGAGTTCTGAAAATCAGAAGCTGTTGCCTGAAGAATTAACTGCGAAGGGAGCTGGATAGAGCTCCGGGTTTGGACGCTCCTGGGTTCCCAATGTGTGCGGGTGGTGCGGACATTGTGTGTGGCTACATTTGGCTCCTCTGAACTGTAGAGGGTGGCTACTGCCAGCTCTTGCCCCTGGAGGTCCGAATAGCCTGACCTCATGAGAAATAGACTGTGAATGGACTACACGTTTGCAGTAATGGCCAGATCTGCCACCAGCACCAGATCCCTTCGACTAGAGGAAAATGCAGGCATACCAAATACTAAAACTCAGTGTGGTATGGGGTGGCAGCTCTACAGAGATAATTAGTCATCTTAATCACCGTGCTTTCTCTTTTGGTTTTTGGTTTTTTTCATCAGTTACTATCACGCCATTGAGTAATAGTAACTAATTAATCTTTAATCAGAATCCTATATGAATGGATATTGAATGTGTTCTGTTTGTGGGGATGGTGTTTGTGTGGTATGCTTTATATTCAAGACATATTGGGACATGTAAAAGGTTTACTCAGAGTCAGCTAATTGTGTATAATGTTTGGAAGACTGGGACAGTAGCTTTTTAATTTGATTGTAAAACACATTCTGTTCATAGACATACTGCAGACTTGATGTTCTGGGTATTAGCCTGATAGTTAAGAAACACTTAAGTAGAGCTCCTATACAGCAAGTGTAACAGCTGGGTATCTACTATTAGAACAAATAACATCATTTCGTAAGTGTGTGGTGGTGGAATTTTGCAATAGTGTGTGTTCTTTGATGCTCTGGTTCTGAGCCCTGACTTGCACTCTAAAAATATTCACCAAGTCATCTCTCCCAAAATCTGAATCATAACTCAAAACTACAGTTAGTCACAGTGCCTACTGATGAGGTCATTCAAAATCCCAGCTTTACTGAGGCTCCCTTATGCCAGAAACTTGCTCAGTGCCTAAGAGATGCAGGAGGGGCTCTCCCAGCTGGAGGCATCCAGGTCAAATGTCAGCTCTGCTTTGCTCCACCCCTGTGCAGAGCCTCTAGTGGAAAGTCACAGAAGTGCTCCTGCACTGCAGGAAATCCAGAGCAGGGTGGGGAGACATCCAGGCTCCCCTAGCCACCTGCCTCAGAGAAGAGATGCTGTGTCCCATCAGCAACAGGCCTACAGCCACTAGGCTTTTAGTCCCAAAGATGGCCGACTTGGAATTCCCTGCTCAGAGTTTCCAGGGTAGGCTTGCAAACAGGCAGTGTACCCTCCTCTGCCTCAGTTGTCCACCTGTGAAGGAGTGAGAGCACGGCTCAGACCCCGGATCTCTGCCAGCCACCTTCTCACCCACCACCCCACCTTCAGAAGGTTCCCGAAAATGGCCCTGACTGTTTAGCCTGTAGAAAAGAACTCAAACCACCTGGAACCAAAAGCTCCCAGAGTCTTCCTGGAGTCCCCAGGAAGTGCAGCCCCCATCCCCACACACTGCTGCAGGAGAGGGTGGGGCTCCCCAGCCTTTCCCAGGAGGCTGATGAGGTTTTTTCCAGAAGCCAAGAGCCAAGCTTACAATCCCAGAATCTGGGCTGTCTGCGCTAACAGCTCATGATGCTTCCTAATTTTCAACAGCCCTTACAACACTAGAGTGTGGCAGTCCCTGCAGGAAAGCACAGCCCGCCTGCACATTAAATTTTAAACTAGTATTCTTTCAGAAAGTTAAAAAGTAACAGTCTGAGATAAAGCCCCAGTGGGAGTGCACAAGCAGCTCCCTTTAAGGGATGGTAAGACGTTCTCTTAAGGTCATTGTTCCTTTGTTCTTCAGTTTTTAAAGAGGCTCTACCCCACTCCCTTCAAAATTGCTGCATGACCTTGAGCCCCAAAGAAAGAAATATTTGAAGAACACAGTATCCACTCTGGGTAGAGTTGGCTTGACAGCGGAGGGTCATGGGAACATCAGGCCTGGGATAATGAGCGATCTGACTGTACCTCCTTGGCAAATGCTTATCCCACTTTTAAAAGGAGTGACAATTGTCCTCCTGGTTAAATGAATCTGGTTTAATAAACAGTGTCTCCCTCTCTGCTAATAAGATCATCGGAGTTAGTCAAACAGTGCTTAGCAGATGCAAGGTCTCCCAATCCCTAGTCTCAGCACCAAAACAGACATCTCTCTCTCTCTCTCTCTCTCTCTCTCTCTCTCTCTCTCTCATCCTTGAAATGACTGATAACTCATTTCTTCACCAAGGAAGGCAATGGCTAGGGCCAAAAGTAGGTGAATTTTAAATCCTTTTATCGGTATTGTTTTTTTCAGGCCAAATTTGAATCCCTCTTCAGGACGTATGACAAGGACATCACTTTCCAGTATTTTAAGAGCTTCAAACGTGTCCGAATAAACTTCAGCAACCCCTTATCCGCAGCTGACGCCAGGCTGCAGCTGCATAAGACGGAGTTCCTGGGGAAGGAAATGAAGCTGTACTTTGCTCAGGTGAGTGTGTCCATTCCAAAGCAGGTTCCCCTCCCCGGCACTTCCACAGCCAGCTCCTCGTGTTAGATTATGTTAGACACTGGACAGCAAGCACTCACTCACTTGTTCGTCTCCAAGAGGAGCCCTCAGGGTCTCACCTGGTCTAAGAAGGAATCAGGTGAATGAGAAAACCACCTCAGAGATGGGAACCCTGTAACTTCCTAGGTGAAATCACGAATGAGGGAAAGAAGCCTTCCCTGTTCACCCAGGGAGTTTGCAGGGGCATCATTGCACACTCCTGTGCTACACTGGGATCTGGACATTGGGTCTCTCTGCAGTGTTTCTCAGGGATTAGGTTAACAACCCACCCGTCAAGAGAGGTCTCCAGCTGCTGCAGGTTCTCACCGGCTCCTAACAGCACCCTGGCTTTGTGAAGAACCTATATGCAAATCAGCACAGGGTTGTTAGTGGGGGTGGGGGGCATGAGATGGTTATCAGAGGGTTGATAATCCTCTCTTAGCTGGGGTGCAGAGAGGGGGAGCTATAGATGGGTTTGCCCTTTGTCCTGCCAACCCCAGGTACACCTTCAAGACAGCTCCCAACTTCCATTTGATTTTGTAACAGTGATTGGTAGATTGCCAAGAAAAGAGAAAGAAGGTTCTAGAATTTTACTCCCAAAGTAAAGTCAGTCTTTGTCAGGCCCTGAGGCTTCTCCACCTTACCCACTGAGATGGCATTTAGCCTTTGGGCCTCACAGAAATTCATTCTGAGGCCCCTCTGCCCTCGACAGTAGTAGTCATTTATTCTAAAGTTGTCTCTGATCATTTACTGCCAGTTTAGGGCAAGCAGAATCTGCCAGTGTGAGGCTCACAGCCTAGGAGGGGCTGGCTCTCACCGTATTAGCACTGCTAGGGTTCAAGAATGAAATGCCCTCATAGGTTCATGTGTTTGAATATTTGGGTCCTTGGTGATGCCACTTTGGGACTTAGGGAACCTGTAAGAGGTGGGGGCCTAACTAAAGAAGTCGGATCATTCAGGGTGGACATTGTGGGGTTGGAGTCCAGCCCCACTTCTGGTTGAAGCTCTCTTTGCTTCCTGGTTAGCACCATGTGACATGCCCAGCACAGGCACCAAAACCAGAGCTCGTCCCCCCTTCACTGTCTTACAGACCACTTCACGGTTCCTCTTAAGTGGTACCTGGCCCACTCCCTGGCCGCTGGTCTGTCGTCCATGCTTGCCTTCCAAAGGCTTCCGTGAGCGGCTATGAAATGCAGCTCCCTCTCAGCCCAACGATGAACTGGTCTCTCTCCTCAGACTTTACACATATGAACTGATCTCTCTCCTCAGACTTTACACATATGAACTGGTCTCTCTCCTCAGACTTTACACATATGAACTGGTCTCTCTCCTCAGACTTTACACATATGAACTGGTCTCTCTCCTCAGACGTTACACATATGAACTGGTCTCTCTCCTCTCCTCAGACGTTACACATAGGAAGCTCACACCTGGCTCCGCCCAATCCAGACAAGCAGTTCCTCATCTCTCCTCCCGCCTCTCCACCAGTTGGTTGGAAGCAAGTAGAAGACGCTACCCCAGTCATAAATTACGATCTTTTATATGCTATCTCCAAGCTGGGGCCAGGTAAGCAGCGCCCTCAGGTGGACAAGGGGCTGGGAGGTGTGGTGAGGTTGCTCCAACACAAGACGCCTCAAATGACCCCATGCGAACGTGTCTTATGAATGCTCATTCTTCCACGTTGCTGCCACTGGTGCCAGAGCGTGTGCTCCCTGTAAGGGTTGCAGGAGAGACAATAGCAGCCTACAGGTTTTCTGCACCACCATCCCCAAAGTCTGAGTCTGTCCCTGAGTCTGTCCCCTCACCCATCAAGCAAACCCGTGTGGATCTCTCCCAGGCCATAAGTGATATTGTTCCAGATGGGACAAGCAACCGGATTTTAGAAAGGGGAAACAGACCAACCTTCTTGGGAGTTCATCTGCAGCCATTATTACTACCTGGCTTTCCTAATGGGTGGGAGGACAACCACGGGTCACGGTGAGGACAGAGCCCAAAATGGATCACATCCAATAGGACCGTGGGCCACAGATGAACCATCGCCCTGTCCACAGCACTTTGCATGGTGCCTGTGCTCAGCATGTGGTTTGTAGAATAGGAAAATGTTGGTGGGTCCTCTCCTGTGTCAGAGGGGTGGGTGAGAGGAAGAACTAGGATGCAGAGATGTGAGCATCACTCCTGGGCACCACACAGCAAGCTGAGTTAACGCTGTCTGTCCATCAGCCCCTTGTTTCTCCTTGACCAGCTATCTGATGTTCCGTTAGAGAAAGGGTTTTGCTTTCATGGCCCATCAGCAGTTTTGTGCCGAAAGATTACATTTCTGAGAACACAGCCTAGACGGAAATTCCTCCTGTGTTACACAGCGAGAATCACGTTACTGGTGCTAATTGTGGCGTGAAGGTCAAGACTGGTAATGGCCTGTGTGAGCAAGTAGGTGGCTCATCATGGCAGTTCCTAGCAAGCATCGTTCGTGAAGCCCAGGGTGGAAACAGAGGGGATCTCCATCTGCAGCAAGGAGCCAAACTGTTCCAGAGGCAGGAAGTGGGGTGAGCCTCCCACCTCTGAGAACCCGACTGGGGGTGAATGTATGTGCTGAAACACCCTGTAGGAGGTCTGCCCTGGATACTGATGGAAACTGGAGTAGCCGAGTGTCCACCAGGGCCACGCCCCAGAGCCAAGCACACCTTCAGGCCGTGGAGAAGGGTCTCACCAAGGCAGCCTTCTGAGAGCCATTTGCCCTTCATCTACTTAGCAGTGGAGTTCATTCTAGTTCTTTGTTCTTGTATTTTTGTTGTTGATGTTCCAACCGCGCTTTTCAGGATTGCAGAGGTTTCACAATACAGCCTGACGCCCCGAGCCTTCTGCACCTGGGCCAATGGTAGACACTCATGTGGGAAAGCCTCCATTCTCAACCCTCCCAGTAACCCTCAACCCTGGGAGGGCGGAGGCTCCTTCGTGTTTACAGACAGTTAGAGCGGCATTCAGCCTTGCTGCTGAGGTAAAGGCCAGGCCGCCTCCTCGTTCATGAGTGCCATGTCCCCCACATCTGAGAAGCACCCTAAGAAGCTGGAGGCCCCACCAAGCCAGTTCAGCAGTGGGGTTCAAACCTGGGACCTTGCATCTACTGGCAGGCACCCCTTGTTGGGTCTGCATCCCCGCACCCTCCATTTTTAAAAACATAATCGGTTGGCATTCGTCAGGCAAGTGTGTTGTGAGCCTGCTGCTGGGTGTTTTGAATGCATTCTCTCATGGAATTGGCCCCATTGATGCCTTGGTTGCCCCGTTTTAGAGAAGAAGAGGTGAAGGGTGCAAGGGAATGAAATGGCAGGCCCATCATTCCCAGGTACAAGTAAGTGTCTCTCCACTCCCAGTCCACACGGCAGCCGCTCTTCCGAGCTGCCCCCATCAGCAGCCAGTGCAGACCCCTCAAGGGATGGCCTTGACCCGTCCTTCCCAGCCACATTTCTCAGTGACAGACGGCTCACCCTAACCTTGCTGCAGCAGAGTGGTGTAACTGGGATGGAGCCTGAAAAGCTCAGGCTAGCCCACAACAACAATGAGGGAGCATTCTCAATTCCAGCTAATACATACATACATGCATCCATCCATACATGGTGCTGTGGCTGAGGATGTCGCTCAGGTGGAAGGCCTGCTTAGCACATATGCCGCCGCCCTGAGCTTGTGTCCCAATGCCACATAAACCAGGCATGGGGGTGTGAAGCCTCTGAGGCAAGTGCCAGGTGGAGGCGAGAGGAACAGAAGTTTCAGGTCAGCCTGAGCTACTGGGTGAATGTGAGGCTAGTCATACTGTATAAAACCCTGAGGCTAGCCACACTGTATAAAACCCTGAGGCTAGCCCACACTGTATAAAACCCTGAGGCTAGCCCACACTGTATAAAACCCTGTCTCCAAACTAATAGAGGAGGAGCCAAGGCAGTCACATGTGTATGCACATGGGGCCTCTCCACACCTCCCCCCTGGTGAGCTCTGGAACCCCACCTGGAAGCCTTGGAAGGGAGGCTCAGGACATGTGTTTCCAGAGCTGTCTTGGCCCTCCTGTTCCTTGAACCGATGCTCCTCACACTGCCCTTGGAGAACGCCGATGGGAGCCCCCTGGGTGGACATGGGAAGGGTCAGCTAACAACATACAATCCTCCTGCCCTGCCTCAGTCTCTCAACCCTGGTGCCAGTCCCATGTACCTCTCATCATGCTCAAGGGCTTGCCCTAGTTACCGGGTTACCTAGTTACCAGGCCAACTGCCTCCTTCCCTAGGTGAGAAGTATGAGCTGCATGCAGCAACAGACACCACTCCCAGTGTGGTAGTCCACGTGTGTGAAAGCGACCAAGAGAATGAAGAGGAGGAGGAGATGGAGAGAATGAAGAGACCCAAGCCAAAAATTATCCAGACGAGGAGGCCAGAGTACACGCCTATCCACCTCAGCTGAGCTGGCTCACAGATGGAGACGGCACATTCTAAACCCCACTCATGGGGAGGGATCTTTTACTGTGCAGGTGGCTGGTCATAGCTTTGGAGGTGACAGCCGTGACCACTGTGGCAGAAATTCCAGTTCATGTTGCTCAGAAGAGAATCAAGGCTTTGTCTCCTTGTTCTGATACTGCACCTCAGTCCATGTCCGTGGCACCCAGGAATGTCTTGGGCCATTCACTGAGTTGGTGGTAATCACACAAGGATATCTGGGGACATCTCCAGAAAACTGATAATGGTAGTGTCTTGTACTCACTCTTTTCTAGGTTCTGTTTTTGCCAAGGACAGGTTGACTGGTGGCCCGGGGAAAAGATTTCTGTTTCCAACCAGCATTCAGGGTCCAGGCCCCACTGGTAGGCAGAGGCACCCCACAAAGCCACCAAGTGTCCAGTGCAGAAAGGTTATGGGACAACCCCAGTGCCATGTGGAAATTGTACGTCTCATTTTTCCCCTCGTGTTCTAACGTTCACGCATGTATGACTGGGTTCCAAGACTAACCTTTGCTCGTGTATGAATACACTGTTGTTTTCCGCCTTGGGAAGCTGGGGAGACAGGCACTGGAAAACTATGGTCTTTCCTGGTCCCTGGCCTTCTCTGCAACAGCACCCATACGTGGGGTCGCACCGGGAGATGCCCACACGTCACCCTGTCCAGCGCACCATGTCACCTGTGCTTTCTTGCACAAGTTGATCTTGAGTTCCTGTGTAGAATGTAGCTTATACGATGGCAGACACCAGTTTTGCTGTCAGGTGCCAGTGGGTGGGAAGTTGTAGGTTAGGTGTTTGGGTTCAGACATCAGTTTCTATTGTTTCTTTCATGGAGTGGTTTATATGTGAATTTCAGCCAAAAACCTCTTTGGGAACTGTTGATTGAGACAGTTTTTCACCCCATTGAAACATGAAGATAAACTTGTAAATAAAGCCAAGAGCATATCTTAATGCCTGTGGTGTACCTGGGTGAGAACAGAGGGTAGAAGGAGTCTCGAGCTCCCTGTGACTTGCGTGTGGTAGAAATTACTGTCATGTGTTTAACGGGATGACTTTGGAGCATGTGGAGTCATAGCTGTGTGTTGCTAGAGGGACACAGTGCCTTTCTTTCCCCTTTCATCCCAGATGGACCGTGACCATTTGGGACTTTCTCCTTTTGTAGTCACCACGTGTGTGTCTGGTAAATAGGTATTCTGTTTTGGTCTCACAGCACCATTACAAGTCTGTCACTCTGAAATAACCTAATGCCAATTAACAGTGCATGCTTTGGGAGTTGGGAAGGCAGCTTCCTCTGGGGAGTGTATTTGCTGACATTGAGTTTTCCATCAGTCCTCAATGAGAAATGGATGGCGTGTTTGCCAAACCCTGTTCACAGCACTCAGGGGAGGGTGCCAGCAAGGTGGAGACCGGCCTCACATTGCTGTTCTGATTCCTACTTCAGTGCTTTGGAGCCGGAGAGGCCAACCTCAAGGGTATTTTTTTAACCGCATTCTGTAATAAATCAGCACAGCCTGCTCTCTGGAAAAGTTGTCTGTTGTTTTCTTCCTGGGACTGGTCACAGGGCTACGCCTGTGTTTGCAACACCGGCTGTCATTGTATATTCAGCATGCCAAGCACACATCACTCAGAAAAGGGCCCAATGGACAAAACCAAAATTAAAATTCTGAGTGTCTCCTCCGTACAGGTGGGCAGACGGCATTGTGACGCCCGGTTCACTGAGGTGTCTCCTCACTGTTCATGCGGTCATTCCCGTGTGGAGGTGGGAATTAAACCCAAGGCCTCATACTTGCCAAGCAAGCGCTTCTACAACTCAACTGCACCCCAGCTCTAATGATGCTTGTTAATAGAAGACAAGCTATAATTAATAAACATTTACTTAGTTTAGATGTATGTGTGTGGTCATACCCCACACTGCATGTGTGGAGGTCAGAGGACCCCTGGTGGTAGTCTGTTTGTCCCTTCCAACCATGTGGGTCCTGGGGAATGACTTCAGGTCTAGAGGCTTGGTTGGAAACACTTTTACCTGCTAAGCCACCATAAAGGCCAGTTGAGTTCAGGACATCTGAACCTCTGGTCACCTCTTCCCTGGAGAGGGGGTTGTGAAGCTCCTGGCCAGCCTGTAAAAGCCTCAATAGTTAAGTGTTTATTTTCTGGTATATGGAAATAATCTTGATCAAGATTAACATTAAGCCGGGCATTGTGGTGCACACCTTTAATCCCAGCACTAGGGAGGCAGAGGCAGTAGGATCCTGTGAGTTCAAGGCCAGCCTGGTCTCCAGAGCAAGTGCCAGGATAGGCTCCAAAGCTACACAGAGAAACCCTGTCTCAAGAGATCCGCCTGCCTCTGCCTCCCGAGTGCTGGGATTAAAGGCGTGCACCACAAACTCCCGACCAAAAACCAAACAAACAAAAAAAGATTAACATTAAATATTCCTCCATGGGGCTGGAGAGATGGCTCAAAGGTTAAGAGCACTGGCTGCTCTGCCCGAGGACCCGGGTTCAATTCCCAGCTCACACGTCTTAAACTCTGGTTTCAGGGGATTTGGCACCTTCTATACTAATGCAAATAAAATTAAGTTAATAAATATTCCTTCATGGAAACTTACATGTTATCTTTTTTTTAAAGCCAAATATGTCCAAGATTGAAATGTGTTGAGAAGTCCATATTTTAATCCCAGTGCTAGGAGCTAATTATTGAACAGATTCTCTGACCACCTGGAGGTAGGTGAGAGTTTCCCAGACAGGAATACAGCATGGGGCTCCCTTCACTATTCTGGATGACTCTGAAACTGAGCGGTATTCCAGCCCCAGGTACTAGTTCATAAATAGCCCTAAAAGAGGGCTGAGATGTTGCCCAGTAACTGACTTGGAGCAGTCCCCCACACAACTGTGTGGTAAGGTGCTACCCTCACTGCCATGGAAGCTGACCCTACAGTAGAACTCAGGTCACTGAACACCCCTATGGAAGATCTCTTTTGCATAGTTCCAAGGTGGGCATGAGCAGTGATCTCAGATAAAAGTGAGAAGGTTACTGACTAGACCACCTGGGTCTGAAGGGCCCCAAATGACAACCTGCGTTTGTCTGAGAGGGGCTCAATAAAATGAGAGTGACAGGTGCCAAGGGGACAGGTCATGATGTACTTTGCTGTTGGTTGAATGTAGTTCTTACACAGTGTGCTGTAACAAATATCCGACAGTTTAAAGAAGGGAAATTTAGCCTGTGGTTCTGAGGTGCGCAATGCTGGCTGTCTCTGCTGTTCCTGGGCCTGGTAAGGAAGAAGATCATGGTACAAGGACATGGTGAGACATGGCTGCTCACCTCATAGCAGCCGGGAGGCAGAGATAAGGGAAGGGACTGGGAACCAAGTATTAATTCATAGGCGCACACACACCCTGAAACCCCCTCCCAGAACAGTGACACTAACTGAAGTAATGTGGGGAGGACCCAGCCTTCAACACATGGCATGTCGAATGCTTTAAACTAGAGAGATTTCACGGACGTCTTTACCAAGCTGATGGTGAGTACATTGGGATCATCCCAGAACCAAAGCTTCTTGAAATGAATGCCAAACCAACCACATAGTGGCTTGTGATGAACGGAATGTGGTTTCCTCCATGCTGTTAAGGCTCGGGTTATAGCCAGTGATCTGCAGTCGGCAAACACGGAGTGTTGGAAGGGACTTCTGCAGTACGTTCTGTGAATTAGCACCCACAGGAAATCCGTTTTTCAGAGTGTTTTCATTTTTATGTAAAACATACAGGACTCCCTATGCCGTAAATTGACTTCATCAAATATTAACACCCAAAGATTTAAATGCAGCATGTGGACCTGTTGTGAGCAGCTGGGAAACATCCTACCTCACGGCAGAATGTTTGCCTCCATTTAATAAGTGTGTGTTGGTGACATTCATCAAAATGTCAGCAGTTCAGATGGAAACTACACAAATAATTTACCTCAAAATTACTTAGGAAGAAGGTCCTCTGGGTTTCAGACACTCTCTCTTCCCTGGTCTCTGGGCTTCTGCCTCAGAAGTAGGACATGAAGGGTTTTCTTTGAAGTCTTCTTGTATGGGCAATCAGTAATTCACACTGGAAATGCTCTCTGAGTCATCCGAGTCACGTGGCCATCGGGCAGACAGATTTTCTTCCCACACGCCCCATTTTCTCTGGGAGGCCTTCCCTGCTGTTCGTGAAAGGTCATTTTCATCATGGCCATGTGTATAAAAGACAAGGAAATTATCTGCAAGTGGTTGAGTTGTAGTGCCCACAGTTGCCATTTACTTTTTCACTCAGATTCTCACTGGGACATTGCTCACCATTCTTCACAGGAGGGGGATGCCAAGCAGATGCTGAGCCTCTGACCGGACACTGTTGGTTTTCTACCATGCACCAATTCCCATGCACTCTTCATTTAGAATAACGCTCAGTGCTCCAACCCAGCTAACTCCGCCATGTTGTCTACCCCATGAGAACAGCCCTGTTCTCTGTGCCCAGTTGTGGGCAGTTATCACAGTGCCTGGCCCCTCTACAAATATTGATGAATAATTAGCCAACTCCATCTTAGTGCCTCTTCCCCAGAGAATCAATGCTAGCTACTCCTGCTGGGTCTCCCATTGTGCTCCATTTTTCCTTGTAGCATGCATCATCTTTCAGTTTAATTTTGCCTTCCTTGTTCCAACATAAATTGGGTGGAAACTGGATTTTGGGTAGCCTATTTAATGGCTTATAGTAGATATCAACTTGATGAATACTACATTGAATGGAACAATGGATCAATGAATCAGTGGATGGATAGATCAATTGGAGATGAGCAGGGATGGATGGATGGATGGATGGATGGATGGATGGGTAGACAGAGAGATAACAGACAGATAAACTGAGCTGCTGCTAAGAATGGAAAAAACAATGAAGCCTGTTCCTGCCTCTCTAGTCAGCAAGCCCGTAAGCAGCTCTCGCCTTTAATCCAGCAAATTGCCAGGCTGCTGATGCAACAGGAAATTAAAGGCAGGGATTAGCAGACATGATCATGCTGGGTAATTGCCGAGAAGAAGAAAGGCTTGTTCAAAACTGTTTCTTCTAAGAAAGAGATTGGCTGGGGGGAGAATGACTGGGAAGGCCTTGAAAGAGCTTTCTTCAGTAATGAGAGCATTTGTTCTTGATTGAGCAACGTACTAACAGAAGGGACAACAAGGCAGTAACAGCACAGGTGCCGGCATTTGTCAAAAGCACTAAGACGCATGCAAATGGAGCTGTTTGTTAGCTCGAGCCTAGTAAAGGTGATTTGACTCACAAATCAGCACCTAGGAGAAAACTCAAATCTTGGACAGTGAACAAAAATTGAAGGAAAGTCTTAATCCCCATCATCTACTCTTTGAGATAGGCCAGAGATGCAAAACCCTGGCAACATTTGCAAAACATGCTGTTACACAGAAAAGTGGAGAGGGAGCCCTGCCTGCTTTGTGTGTGAGCATGCTAAATACTCTCCAGAAGACATTGATATGTTGTGTGTGTGTGTGCATATGAGTGTCATGTGTATATGTCGTGTGTGCGCGTGTGTCTTTTGTGTGTGTGTGTGTGTGTGTGTGTGTGTGTGTGTGTGTGTGTGTGCGCGCGCGTGCTTTGAGGGAAATCAAACCCAAAGCTTTGTAAGCATTTATCACTGAGCTACACCCCAAGCCACAGCAAAAATCAACTTAGGGGGCTGGAGAGATGGCTCAGTGGTTAAGAGCACTGGCTGTTCTTGCAGAGGGCCTGGATTCCATTCCTAACATGCACATGGTGGCTCTCAGCCATCATCTATAACTCCTGTTCTGGGGTATCCAGCACCCTCTTGTGACCGTCATGGGCACCAGGCAAACCTAGTGCCCATATATATACACATGGGTAAAGCACTCATGCACACAAAATAAGATAAATACAAATTTAAAAAGTCAACTTGGACCACATTTACTCCTTCAACTTTTTGTTTTTGTTTTTGTTTTTGACAACACAGGGTTTCTCTGTGTAGCTTTAGCTGTCCTGGAGCTCCCTCTGTAGATCAGGCTGGCCTTGAACTCACAGAGATCCACCTGCCTCTGCCTCCCAAGTGCTGGAAGTGCATGCCACCACCACCCAGCTACTTCCTTATTGAGTTCCTATATACCTAAAACCAATGTTTTTTCTTCTTCTTCAAGAACAATGAATGCATTTGTGTGTAAACCGTAGAAAGACATGTGGGCATGGCAAGATTTGTTGGTCCTTGCCATGGACTCTGATTCTTCAGGACAGAAATACTGCACAGGTCATGAAATGACCCTGTAACCTAGGCTGACCCTGCTATAAAAGCTAGGTAGGAGCTGGGCGGTGGTGGCACACGCCTTTAATCCCAGCACTCGGGAGGCAGAGGCAGGCAGATCCTCAAGGCCAGCCTGGTCTACAAAGCAAGTTCCAGGACAGGCTCCAAAGCTACAGAGAAACCCAGTCTTGAGGAAAAAAAAAAAAAAAAAGCTAGGTAAGGGGTATACCACTGGATTTTTAGAAATC